CCCCTGCAGACTTACCAGCCAGGCACTGCTCTCCAAGCCACCTGACTGCATCCCTGGCTGTGTGTATGCTGCGGCTGCATGCATGCATGCAGCATTTATCGGTGACATCATTGACTACACCAGCCAAAATAAGCAGATGGCCAGTGATGTTAATTTCTTTTTATCGGTGCTGATCTGATATGCCATGGATATATCAGTGCATCTCTAATTTAAGCTAGTCTCTTCCACTCCTGAGTTTATGATGAGACAATAGAAATATGAGTGGAATTCTAGCAGGTCTGAGTAACCTTTTTCAAAAATCTGTATACATCTCAAATTGTATTCCAAATGTATGGAGTTGTTGGACAGTCCTTAAAATGGACAGAGTAAACTGAATAAGTAAAAGCATAGTGAGGATCAAGTGAAATATGAGAACATGAGAGAACATAAGTTTTTCTTCTAATTTCAGAAGGATCTGAGCCCTGTGTATTTACATGTGATGCTCTTAATTCAGGAATTATACATACATACGTACATACAGCTATAATACTTTGAATAATTTTTCAGGCTGCCTTATAAAAACCCAAATTAATATCTGAAATGTTTGAGACTATAAATACCATTCTAGCTTCTAATATATATGATTTTAATTTTCTGTCATAATTAATATGCGGAGTGAAATGGAGTCAGTGGAGCCATCCTCAGAGGCTGTGTGTGTGTTTTTTTTTTTTTTTTCCATTGCAGCAAACTTCTGTTTATCACAGAATTACAACTTTCCTGAGGAATAGGGTATGGTGAAGGGCATTTTAGTTTATGTGAATTTATACTGAATATAACTTTTCTTACAGTACTCAAAAGCAGCAAATAACACCAAAGAGTTGGAAGACTGTGAACAAGCTAACAAACTAGGAGCAGTGAACAGTACATTAAGGTAAGCTGTGCTTAAAGTAAAATAGTACAAATGAAGGACAGAAGTTCATTTATACCAGAGTTTGGTAAACTTTCCTTAACAGCAGATAGAATTAACCTAGCTCAGTTTTGGGGTAAGCTAGCGTGTATAGCTTATTGTGTTTGTGCTCGGGGAATGGGGTTGTACGATACCTTGAAGCCAAGAAAAGGGCACAATATAATTTTAGATAATTTTTCTTTGTTGCAATATTGTATTCGCTATAATCAGTATGAAGCATACCAGAGTTCAGGAAAGAACAAGAGAACTAGATTTTCCTCCCTGACCTGTGTCCTGGGAAGGATCTGATCTGTAATATGGAAGGGAGGAAATACTTGCTGATGCCAATTTTAAAATGTGTGGAGGGAAATGTGTTGCATCTTTCATAGGCAAAAGTCACCCTTACTGTAGTCTTGAAGGCCTGAGTACATCATTCTCGATGTGATGTGCACAGTTGGTTTACTTCTGACAGAGAGCTCCTGGTGGGTTGGAAATGGCCAGTGTCAGGCAAGGAAGTGGCAGGTAGCTTCAGAATATACTTTTGTCATACTTTTTTTTTCCTGTAAAGCACTGAAGAATCTCTTTAAAAGACAGTTATGGAAGAGGTAGGTTACATTTAAAGACCTCTACACCTTTCGGAGTAAATCAGAACTAGCCTTCTGCTTAACCAGGATCCTTCCCCACCCCACACCAAGTTTGGACTGAAGCCAGCAAGGTGAAGTGGTACCCGGGGCTGCAGAAAGCACAAAGTCTGCCTAGGTGGTATGCATGAAGTTGAGGAGATGGGTTCCCCTCACCCTGTGTCTGCGTGCATGTCTGTAGGGGGCGGGGCAACATTATAGCTGATTTAGTTTGCAGCTACCCTCTGTGGCTTCCCTGTTTGCTCAGTTACTTTGAACTTCAGAGCAGGATACATCTCCCCAGACTTATTAGAAGGATCCTCCCCCCTCACTCCTTGGGGCAGGGATTAGATTGGTGTTTAGGCTGTTGGATCAGGCGCTTACAACTTTGTGTGAATATCAGTTTTGATTACTGAAAGTGCTTTGATTCTTCAATGGACAGTTAGTAGAATTCACCTGAATAAACAAATACCTCTAAAATTGTTTCCTTTATTTTCAAGGTACGTAGGGTTTTTTTTTTACTGTGCGATAGATTATTAGTGACGGTCTTGAAATTCGGTAATAAGTGGCTTACATTTTGGGTGAAAAGGATTAAGAACTAAAAATACTACATGTTTTGTGAGCAAGGGTTAAGGAAGTGTTTTAAGTTCTGTTACTTAAAAAAAAAAAATTTTATACATACAATCATTTATACTGACATGTAGAAAATTGACAGTGTTTTCTAACTATAATATATAAGGAACCTACCAAAATCAAGGAGACAGGTGGTCGATTTCGCAGGCAGATCGTGGGGCTGGCTGCCACTTTTGTGGGCTTATCATGGCAGGGCCACCCCACACCTCTGGCTGAAGGGCTGCAGTAGCCCTGCCCCTCGACACTGGCCTCATGATCAGCAGTTCTCTAAGCCAATCGAAGGAGAAGGGAGTGGCTGCCATCTTGGCTGCTCCACTTCATGACATCAGCTTCCTCCCCACCTGGCAAGCTGCCAGGCCAGGCCACAGTGGCTGTTAGTATGCTGGTTCCCACTAGGAAGCCAGCATTTTATTTTTAGTAAGTTCTTTTTTTCTCATTTTGCAGACAATGCGTGATTTTATTTATTTATTTTTTTTTTTTTGCGGTTTCCACAAAATCCTGAATTGAGTAGGTCCCTAATAATACAGAATATGAAGCAGACTTCCAAGGCAGAGACTTGTTTTTGTTTTGCAGAGTTTTCGCTACAGCAAGGGTGAATGGCCAACCTGTGGCACAAGTGGCCCAGGTACCTCTGTGTGACACATGACAGATTGGGGAGGAGAAAGGGCAGGGAGTAAAAAGCAGATCAGATGGAGCACTTGGCAGGGAACGGAAAAATCGGAAATTGGGCAAAGGAAGGGATTGGATTGGCACCGTGTGGGAGAATGGGGCTGATTTGTGGTGCTCCTGCCAAAAAGGTTGCCCCCATTCTGCTCAGCAGTATGTAATAAAGTTCTTGTTCATGTATTGTAGGGTTTATGTTAATTAACAACTAATGACCAAATAGCCCATTAATATGTTGAACCACATCTACAGTTGTTTAAAAATTTTAATTCCAGAAATAGTATGAAAATTAATGTCAATTTTCTATATCTAATGTACTTGGTTTATCAGTGTTAATTTTGACATTATTCATGTATATGTTTAAAATCGAATATTTTAAGTCAAATGAAATTCAGTGTTTGTTTCTCTTTCTCTCTCTCTTTTTTTTTTTTTTTCCTCCCTCCTTCAGTAACCAAAGTAAAGAGGCTTTCATTGATTGGGCAAGATATGATGATTCACAGGACCATTTTTGTGAACTTGATGGTAAATGGTAGAAACTTCAGGTTTTTTGTTGTTTTTGGGTTTTTTTTAAATCAACTGAAGTCAGATTTTTAGTGAACATATTTACTTTATATTAACTTACTAAACAAATGGAAAGGTATTGTGCAAATAACTACTGAAAGAAAGATTAACTTTAATATTATATTGAATGGTAAAAATAAGATATCAGAACTTGTCACTCCGAGCTCTAAATATTGCATTAATAGAAGGCATCAGCCTCGAAATACTGATTGATGTGCGGCACTTACTAATAACAGGCAGGAAGCCTGTGTTTCAAAAAGGAAAGGAAGAAACTGGGTGGGACAATATTTAAAATGTTTTGCGATTCTTTCTACTAGTACAGGAGTGCTAGAACCTACCTCCTGGACAAGCATTTGCTCTCTTTCTACAACCACTTCAGCTGCTGTGCACTTCTTTACTGCTCAATTTCTCAAGATGGCTCTATTTTACTGACTGTTTCCCTTTTGCCCCTTGCTATTATTTAACAACTTCTGAAGTGACTCTTCACTTTATTTAGTAGCATTTTCTTTCATTGCTGAAACAGCTTTCACTTTCCACTTTTTCAGCTCTCTTTAGGAGTATGAGAGTAAGTGCTCAGCAACATTAATTGGCTTTTTATTTAAGTGTATTAGACATTAATTACTAGATTTAAAAAAAAAAAAAAAAAACTTTTTTGCAGCTTTTGGCGTGGCCAATCGCATCTTATTTTTATGTGATCTTTCCAGTTTTCACTGACCTAAAAAGCAAATGGTTTTTTGGAAAAATATCATTGGATTAATGTTAGAGCATTAGTAAAATGTTTAACTTTTGTGAAATGTTATTGTTATGACTCTTAAAAAATAATCCTTAAATTAGCTAAAACCAGTTTCTGCGAGGACTAAGGGAAATTACTTAATGAACTTCAATATACAGCTTTTCCTAGTTAAAGAAAGGGAGCATTCTCAAATGCACTGGAAATTAATCCTGGTTAGCAAAATGGTAAATTTAATATTTAAAAAAGGGAAAAAAAACTTAGACTAAAATGTCTTTAAAAAATATCAAGTTCCTTTTAGCTAACATACAATTTGAGAGAAACATCTTATAAGGTTAGTTAGAACTTTCAGAAAGTATTCAAGTTTCCTCCAGAGTGTTTTCACATTTTGGAAACAATTTGAAAAACTCAGGGCTTGGGGTTTTTTGATTTTTGTTTGTTTGTTTGTTTGTTTTAGTACTAATGTTGTTGTTTAAAAATCTGCTTAACTTCTAAGTAGGTAAAAATCAGTGGGACTACTCACATACAGGTATTGTGTGACACATTAAACAGGTGAAACAGCTTTCAGGCTTGGGCCTATATTTAAAGTAACTCAAGGCTGTAGAATGTGCACCCACAGGAATGAGAACTTGTAAAATTGCACCACAAACTTCATCAAATGCAAGGTGCATGTTTTCAACCCTGCCTTTCTCATTTATAAATGTTTAAAAGAAAACAGTCAAACAGTCTAAACAAAGCACTGTATTTGCACATGTGGGCCCCTGGCAGATGTTAAAATAATGGCACAGTTCGTATCGGAGTAATTATATGCCCCATTCCAAAAACACAGTGTGTTCTTGTTTGGGACAATTCATTATCCAATCCCAATTGCATCACTATGGGGCTGCCCTGCAGATCAGGCAGGAGATGGATCTAGCCTGGACTCTAGGCATGAACTTCATTCTACCTGGAAACCTGGTGCTCTCCAGTGCTGACAATCATTGTTGACATCAGCTGGACAGCCCTGGGTCTGCTTCCAGATCTGGGTCTGATGCCAACATTCATCTGACTGTTGGCACAGGTGAGGCAGCCCACATGGGGAACACAACACATACCATGTGTTCATTTTTAAGGTGTGCCATATAAACCAGCCACAAAGTTGTTTTACTTTATGTGGAATATCTTTGTAGCTGGTTTGCCAATTATGGCTCAAATTGGCTGAATGTACGCCATTTGTAATTTATGGTGCAAACACATTAATCATACCACAAATATAACATGTGATGGGGCCCAAAATACTTCCCTTGGCATGAGGATGACGGAGAATAAGCACATGACAATGCTGTCATATTGGTAAGTACAAAAATGCTATGGTGATGAGGATAGCACAAGAAACTGCGTTGATTTTATTCTATCTTCTATTTAATGTTTCCATTTATTTTGTCACTGCACATTACATATAGGATGTGTGTGATGGCATTAAAATCATATTGGAGATCAAAATTATATTACGTAAGTCATCTCACTTTTACTTAGTACTGTATAATTGCTTTTTGTGAAACAAAGGCCTTTTAAAGTGATTAATTAGAATATGTAACAAAGAGTTTCCTATTTAGATGAGAGATCTCCAGATGCCCAATATGTGGATTTGCTGCTGAATCCAGAACGTTATACTGGATACAAAGGGCCTTCTGCATGGAGAGTGTGGAACAGCATCTATGAAGAAAACTGCTTCAAGTAACTGGGAAAAGTGGGAAGGTGGTTTATAACTGAAAAATAACATCCTTTCTTACAAAAAAATAAGTTTTATTCTGTTTTATTCTTTTTTCAGGCCTCGATCTGTCTATCGTCCTTTAAATCCACTGGCACCTAGCAGGGGTAGGTTCCTTAACTATATTTTTATGCTTGCTAAAAAAAACAAAAAAAATCTTCAAATCGTTTTTGGTACAATACAGTGTCTTTTTCCATTACAGAGTATTTAAATTAATACTTTATACTGTAGGTATGTCTGTTAACATCCTCTTCCGTCACTGGTAAGGCATGCTAATCTGAAAGCAGGCAAAATATAGGTAGGGACCTACTTGACTCATGGGTTTGCGGAAACCACAAAAGTGTTGTCCACGATTGCCGTGATCACCAGGAAATCTGACATCGGCTACTATTTCCCATGAACACAACCGCAAAAAAAAAAAGAAAAGAAAAGCAGCAGTGAGGTAAACTGAGTGAAGGAGCTCTCCACCAATCAGAGGTGAGGGGTAGAGCTGCCAGGGCCCTTCTTTCGATCAGCACCAAGAGGCAGGGCCACAGCTAAATGCCTGCAAAATTTGGCTCTGCATGAAAAACCTGTTTTCTGTTCATGATTTACACCAGCTAAATCATCTTGTCCACTAAATATAAGACAAGGTGGCCTCTGAAACAGTTTGTCTCTAAGGAGTACCTTGCCGCATATTCTGTCTTATTTTACTATGTAGAAATACAAACTAGTTGGCAGTGTCGTGAATCAGAGCAGCAGCCGGCAGCCGCCTGACTCACACCGGAGTGTTTAGATTTAGAACTTGGCAGGCGGGTAGTGATGGATGGAGTGGAATTAACCAGGCACAGACGTGTGTAGGTTACAGGAGTTTGTTTACTTACGTCGCCTAGATAGTGATGGACGACGCAGGCGAGCCTTCGTTCCGTTACAGCTTTGGTTACAGAATCAAATATGCGGATATAACTTCGGTTACAGAGTCGAGGACACGCACGCAGTTAGGTTACGACGAGATAATGACGGACATGGCGCCGAAAAACGGACGGTCGCGCTTGCAAGTACGTCAATATTTTACGCTGACGGGGTGATCGATTGGGAATTGATCAATTTCCCAATTCTCTGGTGACAAGCACAGGTGTTTCCTGTGAGATCCCCAGAGCTCTCCGCCTTGGGCGGAAACCGTTAAACTATTTATAGGCAGAGGTGTTTGACAGAGATGCCCAATCGTAAACCGTTATATGGAATCTTTAATTTTTGGCAGGTGGCAGCTCTTTGTCTCCTCAAGTTACAAGGTAGTGGGTTAGGTTTCTCTACCTGTTACGTGTGTGCTACGTGTGAGGAGCTTATGCTTATTTTTGGACCAATTATATATAGTTTCCCCTAATATTTTATTTCAGCTGACCTGAAATAAATCTGTAGTACACCACCAGCGTTTTGTTTCAAGGAATTTCTTGGCAGGGAAGTCTTTTAACCCTTAATAGTCAAATGAAGATGATTTGAATGGTATCTCTTGCTCAGTGGCATGGGCACAAGTTAATTGGGTTGTGACAGGCAGAAGCAAGATCATGGCATTGAAAGAAACCAATTCTAATCTTATTTTTTTAAAATAGCTTTGATTCTCCCTGGTTACATGTGCTTACCCTTTTTTTCCAGCTAAATAATCCCAACAGTCAATGAAACTCTGTATGAGTAAATTAAAGTGCATATATAACTGTTTGTTTTCTGAATCATACCTAATCATAGATTCTTCATTCCTCACCCCATAAGAGTTAGAAAAATCTTTCCAGGAGCATACTAAAAAATCCTTGAGGGCAGGGAGCAAAATGAGGAGGTGGTTGAAACTTAGTTTTGTCACCTCAGTGTTTATGGGCCAGTACAACGCAATGTGATTTTTTTTTTTTTTTTCCTTCTATGTTAATAGCATCTTCTTAATGTTATTGGAAGACGGGTTCCACAAGGAAAGGGTCTTCTTAAAGATGAAAGTTTAAATAGTAGCATAAAGTATATGCTATTTCTACTAACATTATTATTCAATTCTAAATAAAATGGAATTAGTATAAGATTTAGAATTGATTAATTCAAAAAAGCTATACAACATGAAAAGCTAAGATGCATTTATCAGTATGTAGAACCATGCCAAAACTTTGTCAGATGTTCAGTTTTAAAAAGCAGTGACTGTTGAATTCAACCAAGAATCCTGTTTTAAAAGCTAATGGCACAATGTGTTCCTACATACTGCATGCATAGACACAGGAATCTTTCTCTGTTCAAGCGTAGTATTTTAGAGTCCGATTTAAAAAATCTGATGTTGACCTCAAAGATGAGCGTTCCAGAGATTAGCAAATTGTTGAGCATATTTGAGAATTGTAGTATATATGTTGTTTTTATACTTCATCTGTTACCTGTGAATTTTAAAGTACTGTCCAGAAGGTCAAGAAAGGCTGCTTATCTTACCTGATCTCCTTTCTAATTGACCATAGAAACTTGCCCAGAATTTCCATGCCTTAAGATAAAGCATATAATGTAGAAATGTGTGTAGTTGTGCCCTTACAACTAAAATTCCTTTAATGTACCCTGTTTTAGACCTAAGTTTTCTGTATAAAAGAAAAATTGTCTTGATGCTTGATGAATGAATCAGAAGTATTTCCTACATTAAAGTGTCCCCTTACTGAGTGAAAGCAGCTTTTTTTTTTAAATGCTGTATTTTTTATTTACATTTATTTTCTTTCTTCTAGGAGAAGATGATGGTAAGTTGTTTTATAATCTCTATAATAATTCAGTAAAGTCCAGTGTTTCTGATTATTCACTTAAGTGCATGCATTTTTCTCTCTCCAAAGAAATTATTTCATCTTGGGGGGCTCCTTCAAGTACAGAGAAAGGAAGCAAAAGAGAATTATACATTACTGACTCGCTCCATAAGAATATTTGTAAAATAACCTAAGAAATTATGCAAAAAGCAAGAGGAAGAAAAGAAGGGATTCTAATATAGTGTGTCAGCGTGCTCTGTTTTGGGGGCATTAAGATTAATTTTACAGTAAGGAATGGCTTATTTCTAAATTAAATGTAATCACACAACACAGGAAAAAGATCTAGGTGTCATTGTGGGCAGCTTTGTGAATAAATACCTTTCATTTTGGTCATTGCTGCCATCCCCACATCAACAGTCTGTTTGCTGGCTTCCTGTGGGGTGGGGCACAGCTCTGGTTGCTGCTGCCTGCTTTGCAGGAATTGGGGTCTTGACTCTGATCTGTTTTTCTAGCTGTGGATCTTCTCCAGTGGTTGTTAGAGCACAGACAAGAGTCTGTGGTTTAGCAGCCACAGTGGCAGCATGGGGCTTCTGCCCCTCTTGCCCTCTGAATACTGGGCAGGGGGCATGGTCATGGGAGCTGGCTGTGCCATCCTGAGAGACCTTCTTGGTCTTGCCTATTAGTTCATCTGTGGAAATGGGAAGGAGCACCATGCCCTGACAGCTTGCTGCTGGGCCAGCTATTGGAGCAAAGGACTGTGGGATACTGGTACACAGAAATGCCTGCCAGTACCTTAAATTAGTAACAGAAAACATTCCTGCAACAAGAAGTTACTATCATTCCAAGCCTAATTTTGAGATTTTGGACCAGCTATAGCCATGAGCACTTTAAAGAACCTTTTACTGGAATAATATGGAAGACTGAATAGAAATGATTTGTTTTTAATGTTTTGATTTTGTTCTGGATATGTCAGTGTCCTCAGAATGAATAACACTTCTAAGTCTACTTGTAAATGGATAAATAAGTTCAGTATATTGTCATCAACTAGTTTTTTTTTGGTTTTTTTTACTTTTTTAAAGATGTTGTTCTGTATTTTTCCTTCTAATGCACTCCCCTGTATAGAGAATTCTGCAAATTCCAAGTACATCTATAATTTTGCCTCTTTGGATTTTAATTATTTATCTCTGCTTTTTTTAAATTATTTTTTTTACTGGTATAATTCTTATATTACAAAAGGTAACAAACAAAAGTTTTTAAAGCAAGTCCTGAGTGCTATGGTCTTATTTCAAAGTACTATCTCTTTCTTGGGGAAAAAAAATCTCATTTCTAGTTTAAAAAGCTACAATAATCAACAGAATTAATCATTGAATCACATAAAATTAAGGTTGGGAGGGATTTTAGGAGGTTATCTAGTCCAATCCCCTGCTCAAAATATGACTATCCCCAATTAGATCATCCCAGCCAAAGCTTTATCTAGTTGAGTCTTAAAAACCTCTGGGGATGGAGATTCCACCACCACGTCTCTAGGTAACCTGTTCCAGTGTTTTACTACCCTCCTAGTGAGGAACTTCTTCCTAATATCTAACTTAAACTTCCTTTGCTGCAACTTGAGACAATTGCTCCTTGTTCTGCTGTCATCTGCCACCACTGAGAACAGTTTAGCTTAATCCTCTTTTGAACCCTGCTTTAGGTAGTTGAAGGCTGCTATTAAATCCCCTCTCAGTCCTCTCTTCTCTAGACTAAATAAGCCCAGTTTCCTCTGCCTCTCCTCATGTCATGTCCCCCAGCCCCCTCACCATTTTTGTTGCCCTCTGCCGGACTCTCTCCAATTGGTCCACATACTTTCTATAGTGGGGCGCCCAAAACTGGACACAGTACTCCAGATGTGGCCTCACCGGTGCTGAATAGAGGGGAATAACCTCCCTTGCCCTGCTGGCAACCCACCTACCAATGCAGCCCAGTATACTGTTGGCCTTCTTGGCAACCAGGGCACTCTGGTGGCTCATATTCAGCTTACTGTCCACTGTAAACCCTAGGTCCTTTTCTGTAGAGCTGCTGCCTGCCCAGTCAGCCCCCAGCCTGCACTGGTGATTGTTCCATCCTAAGTGCGGGACTTCGCACTTGTGCTTGTTGAACCTCATGAGATTCCTTTTGGTCCAATCCTCCAATTTTATCTAGGTCACTCTGAATCCTAGCTCTACCCTCCAGTATATCTGCTACTCCCCTCTGCTTAGTGTCACCTGCAAACTTGCTGAGGGTACACTCCATGTTATCTTCCAGATCATTGATGAAGATATTGAACAAAACCAGCCCCAGGACCAATCCCTGGGGCACTCCACTTGATACCGGCTGCCAACTAGACATTGAGCCATTGATTGCCACTCTCTGAGTCTGCTCCAGCCAGATTTCTCTCCACCTTGCAGTCCGTTCATCTAACCTGTACTTCCTTAGCTTGCCTGAGAATGTTGTGGGAGACGGTATCAAAAGCTATGCTGCTTGTTAGGACTACAGTAATGGAAGCTATTGCTTTTTAAGTTATTTCAGTATTTTAATGTCTTGTGATTTGAATAACTAAAGTAAATAGTCGCATTAAACAAAGTGTTAGATTTATGAATCCTTACAGATTTTAACATAATATTTTGTGTTTACAGGTGAAGGCTTCTATACTTGGCTAGAAGGTAAAAGTCAACCCAATACCAAAATTGAATACTTTTTTGCATTTTAAAAAAGCATATAACAGTGCTGCTTGGCTCTTCCAGTTTCACCATATGCTTAGTGGGTGCCACAATATAGATGTTAATTCCAAAGCAATAATTGTCTTTTCATAAACCAGTGTTTGTAGGATGTGTATGAAATTCTGCATCTTTACAAAGACATTAAGACATTGGAATACTAGTATTCACTTTCATATTACAGACAACTCAACAGGAAAACAAATTTGTTGCTAGGGAATAGGATTTGGTAATGGAGATAACAATGTCCTGATAAATTATATGAATACTATTTAGTCAGCTGGCTGGCATAAAGGTTTATGAATAACCTCTTTAAGTTAGATGTAACTGAATAAAATCATCTTCTTTAAATTCCTCTTAAAGATGCTCTTTTCTTCTAAGAGGAGAGACATTAATATTTAGGGTTGACCTTTAGGTCATTCTCAGGTGGCCTGAACCATGTAAGCTACTCTTCCGCATCTGTGGCCATGTAAAGACTTTCAGTTTCTACCAGGCCCCTCTCCCACTAGACATTAAAAGTGTGCAGACTTTCAAGCATTTTCTCCCAGTACAAAAATGGCAGTTCCAGAATTAATATAACTATAAGGTAGAAATTGCTTCTGGGAGACTGAATGACTGCACACATTTCCCCTGGCTTAAATCTTCCTTGTGACTAAGAGGAGTGGATCCAAGGGAGAGGCTCCCTTGCCTTCCAGATACTGGGGTCATCCTGATCTGGATGGGGGCAGCTACTCCCATGCTTCCCATAAACTGGGAGGGGACAAGAGAAGCAGCTGCCAGCTGCTTCCCTCCTGCTTCTCACTCTGTTCCCAGTGTCCTTGTCTTTATCAGGCCTTTCTATATGGTCTATTTCCAATATTCTGCACAGGTCAAATCTTTTTCCAAATCTTGTGGGATATATTGTGGTACTACATGTTATCTCAGGAGATGATCCATGGTTTGCTTCTCTTGGTTGGTTGCCTAGAGGCCCCCAGACTTCATGATAAAGTTGCATCTTCTGAGACCCGTTCTCAATCTGTTCAGGCTCCGCCATGTATGCCATCTGTAGTTGACAACAAATGCTAATTCCTTGCTGGCTCCATTCAACAGCTTTCTCACCTAGTTTCTCCCATCTTTTTGCCAGAGGCTAGTTCTGCTGATTCTGGTAATGTGGTCAATGATGTGGTAGGGTAGAAGACAAAAAGCTATTTCTTGATGAGAGACCGCAGTGCACTGGTTGATGTCCATATAGTGTTGGTCACCTGATTCTTGCACCTGCTGGTCAATGTTGCCTGCTACTTTCCTTCTGATTTTAAAAGGACACTCTGCCAGATAATATGTATAGGCAGGGAACAGAGGTGGGTTTTAGGTAACCTGTTTATAATTCTGTGTATATCATCTAGGGTTGTGTCAATATGTTTAGTGCGACTTGAGCATCCCCAAGTGGTGCAGGCATATTCAGCCATAGAGAAACAGTGCTAGGGCAGTAGTGCATAGGGTAGATGGATGCGCTCCTCACTTGCAATTTGCGAGCTTATGCACAATGTTGTTTCGTGTGTTGTAATCATATGCAATATGTAGGTTAACATAGTATCGTATGCACACAGATTGGTTCTCAGTGTGAGAAGCAGGCATAGACTTTGCTGTGCTGCTTGATCTGCTCAGCTTCCAGGCA